ATGCCACAGGAACAGTCTGCGGCAGATCTGCGGCAGGATGAAACTTTGCTCCAGACTTGCTGCATACCAGTATGCCACAGGAACAGTCTGCGGCAGATCTGCGGCAGGATGAAACTTTGCTCCAGACTTGCCGCATACCAGTATGCCACAGGAACAGTCTGCGGCAGATCTGCGGCAGAAAGAAATTTTGCTGCAGACTTGCCGCATACCAGTATGCCACAGGAACAGTCTGCGGCAGGTCTGCCACAGAAAAGTGGGAAATTATACAGTCTGCAGCAAGGCTATAGGCGGCCATTTTGGAAGACCATGCAGTACCATGAGGTTGCAGGCTGAGCCCATGATCTTGTAAATTCCTGTGTTAGCACTGTTAATTGTCTTTTTAGCTTCTGTCAAACCAAACAATTTGCTTCAAGTTCAACTGGTACCATAAGAGGAATTTGTTACATAAGAGGAGACTAAGGAATTAACAGACTGTTTCAAACTTTTTTGTTGTGCCATATGTGATCTTATCTTCAGTCCCACTACAAGTAATTCCGCCTGTTTTAGCTGTTTCTACTAATTCAAGGAGCTAGATCAAATGTAATGATGCAATGCATGCTCTCCAGCATAGCCTTCCTGCAAGACTGCATACTTAATTGCCACGTACTGGATATGAAAGAGTATGCAGCAGGTCTGCTGCAGGTCTATATGAGATATGAATGATAAAGGAGTCTGCGGCAGATCTGCCGCAGACTCTTTGTTATAGCCTTTTCTATGAATATCCATGATGAAGAGTATGCGGCAAGTCTGCGGCAAGTCTGCGGCAAAACTAATTTGCATGTGAAAAAGCTGACTGTCTGCGGCACGTCTGCTGCAGATCTGCGGCAAGTTTGCCGCAGGAGTATGCGGCAGGCTCATTTCTTTCCTATGGGGAATCCTCCTCCAGATCGAGTCTACATTATAATTATGTATTTACTGTCGCAGCACTTTGTACATATATGTGGTTGATATGACCAATATACATACATGTACATGGATTTATATGTTCATACACGTGTACATAAAACAATCCTGGTGTATGTTGCACACTGCGCCATACTAGATGTACACGTTGCATGTAGTTGAAAGATAAATAAATAGGAATTGATATGGAAAATTCAACACCCTTTATTGAAAAATAGAATCTTACCTTGACATATGACCCCCCCACTGCGTACTGTGTATCCTAGAGCACACTTCTGCGCAGGGCACGCTCCAGTCTGTTTAGCACATGGTTCATCATTCAAGCAATGACATTTATCAGTGCATTCAGATCCATAGTAACCACCTTCACATTCATCTGGAACTGGGGATGAAAAGAAAATATTTCAAAAATCACAATTTAACAAGCACTACTAATAATACAAATAATATTAGCTCATTAAAATTAGATTGTGTCCTAGACATTTCAATAGTATGCATTATTGATTTCGAATTTATACACATTCTTGAACTTAACAATGCCTTCACTAGATAAATTTGTGTATTTTAAGAAAGAAATCATCTGCTCTATTTATAAATATGATATGGACCATGTGGCAGGTAAGCCTGGTACTAAACAAGTTATCCAATGAAGTCTTCTACTACTATTACTAATACTACTACTACTACTACTACTACTACTGAAAATTGAATATATGGGAGGAGCTGTCCCCAAAACACAGCTTAAGAGTGGGTTTATCTGCAAATTCTGTTTCCTTTACTTATGAACTTTTTTCCTTCTAAACCGCTTAGAGGCAATCAATTCAATTCAATTCAAATCAATTCAATATGCAATTTGCATTATACAAGTATCTTATTATTATTATTATTATTATCTACAAACATATAAAAAACAATGGGTGGTATTCTCGAAATCGGCCTAAGTTAAATCAGTGGACTAAACCTGGTTTAAACCATGGACTATTAAACTTTTTTGCTATTCTCGAAGGTGGACTAAAGATAAGCTAGGCTTAAATACGTCATAGTTCGGCCTATCTTTAGTCCGCTCAGAGCGCAGGTTTAAATACGTCATAGTTCGGACTAACTTCGCGTGACGTCACGTTTTAGTTAAATCGACTCTCCGCGGAGAGTGAACGGTAAGTTTTGCATTTGAATTTCTATATTTGATAACAATTTACACTCTTTTGTATGGATAAGCGCTCATGAAGGTTACACCAGCTAATAAAGTATTTTTGTTACTTTCATGTTGCTGTACTGGTGATAATCTAAAACGCTTTTAACTGAATAAATTTGTACGAATACATGTAAGTTGTTGTTTGTATGCCCAGGTACTTCAAGGATGGCATTTGTTCATTCACATTTTTCCATCAATACTTTCATGTAATTGATTATGCACTCCACTTTTACCACAATGTGCATGCAAGTCCACTTTGGTCACAATGTACATGCAAGACCTTTTTAATGTTTAACAGAAATAGGATTCAATGTGCTTCCTTTCATTCTTTTCCCTTTTAATTCAACATACCGGTACATACTTGCAAGGACTATGAAGTTCTACCGTACTTAGTCTCTTCAATGAACCCCACTCCATCTGCTGTCACTGTGACTGCATGGGGATCAAAACCTTTGTATTAAAATCCTCATAACATGAAGCTATGGTGACAAACAAGCAACCATTGATAAAAAGCCTGATATGTCCTTGTTGTGTGTGTGAACCTCAAAGCAACCATCACTCATAAGGATGTTTTTATGTACATCAGATGTTCATTGTTTCACTGGAAAAATTGTGATTTCGAGTAATGTGTTTTATAATATAGTGCGAGTCATGATATAACAGATTCCCTGCAAAAGAAATACGGCTCAAAAGTAGACTACATGCTTTGTTTTTAAAAAATGGGAAAAAGTAATATGTAACAAATACATAACATTGAATTCTAATAATTTCAAGTAGCAGATTATGAGGCTATTGGAGCTTAATATTTGACCTTCAATTTTATGATCGTATTCATCGTGAATTACAATCTTTTCTGTTTTAAGAAAAATAAATAAATTGAACATAATTGTTATATACAATATTTCTTTCATATCTTTTGATTTTAAGTGTGCATACTGTTGGGTTCATTGAATTATACATGGAAAAAGTCTGGAAATAGAACAGTGAGAGAACAGAGAGCGAGCGGGAGAGAGAGAGATAGTGTAGAAGAGAAAGGGAACCCAACCCCGCTTTGGAAGTCGCTCCGCCGCCCCTGGACGTCATATTGCTCAAGTTGTCAAGGTGATGCATCCTCTCCACACTACGCGCATCCATTGTCTTATCCCATTGTCTTAGTGCATTGTGACGTCGCAGCTTCGGGACTGAGCATGTGCAGAAACTGTAACTATGGTGAATGATCCATGTACTAACTTAAGCCAGGGGTTAATTAAACCATGGATCAGTCAGTCCACCTTTCGAGAAATGAAAATGACTTAGTCCATGGACTAAAGTTAAGCCTGGCCTAACTAATCCACGGACTAAGTCAGGCCAGGTTTAACTTAGGCCGCTTTCGAGAATACCACCCAGTAACTTCAAGTTAACCCATTGACTAACGAATCATCTTATTCCCAACAGGAATGACACAGGAGCCACCCAGTCATGTAGGCAATGGCGTACGTTAAACAGTAAACAAAATAACAAGATTACAATATACAAAGCTGCAGTTTACATGCAAAGTTCTGATATATCTTTTTTGGATAGAGCATTTATGTCATATTATTTGTTATCATTGTTGACCATGGCTTACTTTGGCAGTTGTCTCCAGACCAGTCAGTCTGACATCCACCTGAACATTTTCCATTATAGATATTACATGATGAACCACCACCTTCACAGTGACATGTCTGTGAACATCCGGGACCATATGTACCAATAGTACATACTGTAATAGAATACAAAATCAAGATGGACAGATGAGATACATGTACAATACTTTCATCAGCAAGAAATATTGTGCATGTTACAATGAATTCTTATTCATTTCTCTTTTTCTTCTTCATCTTTTTTCCTCCTCCTCCTCCTCCTCCCCCCCCCCCTCTCTCTCTCCATCTCTCCCTCCCCCTCCCCCTCCCCTCCCTTCCTCCCCCTCCCCCTCCCCCTCCCCCTCCCCCTCCCCCTCCCCCTCCCCCTCCTCCTCCTCCTCCTCCTCCTCCTCCTTTGTCCACTGAGTTGCCCCTGACCTTACTCTTGCATTCAGCCACATTATGGTATGTGCTATATGTATGGCCTATATATATTAAAAGTTGAGCACAATCAAATGGCAATCGGAAGACTTACGTGCGTTACATGCAAGACCATGGGCACCGACGTCACATGAACATCCATAAGGATCAGGCAGGCAAAAAAGATTCCCATGACATTTGTTGAATCCATCATTGGATGAACATTTAAACTCGCAGTTCAATCCAAATCGATTTCCACCATCATTTCTACAAACTGAAAAAAAAAGTCCCATTGTTGAATAAAACCTTTTTAGACTTGCATAAGAAATAAGATTTCTTTAGATAAATTTCAAATATGATTGCTTTCCTGCTATCAAAATATTTTGAAATGTACAGGTAAAATGGATGTATATAACTCTCTTTATTTTAAATAGAATAAGACAACAAATATCTTCCTGAATTCATGTATGAACAGATAAACATAAACATCATTCTACGTGAAGTTCTACAGGCCTACTTACTGTCTAAACAATTTGTTCCCTTGAAGTTGTTAGGACAGATACATAGACCAGACTTGTCATCACAGACTCCACCATTGTAGCAAATATCACAGATACCATAACACTCAGGGGGACCCCACTTACCAGCAGGGCACTCTAATATGAGATAGGGAGAGAGAAAAATAATTAGGTAAAATACATGTCACTAAAAAGATATCATAATAACAAAGATGAAAAAAGAAGAAGATAAGCAGGGTAAAGTTTGTTACAAATAATATTCTTGAATGTAGAACTATGGTGTATGTCATTGGTTCTGTCACATTCTGAATTTAAATACGGGTAATTTCAAACTACATGTACCTGTACTGAATGTACAAATCACAACACAGATCATGACATCCTGAATTTTATCATTTAAAGTTTCGTAAATCTTTTGAAATAAAACACGATATCCCAAAAGATCAGACTTGGACATTCTCTACCAGACTGCTCTAAACTAACATTTTAAAGAGGTGTTCACATTCATTTATTCATTAATAATGAATTATAAATGAATATATGTAAAGATCATCATCCACATGTAACTTGCATAATCTAATGATTCTGAAATAAAGATGTGTTGGCAAAGTATGAAGCAATACTTTTTATAACATCATAACAAACAATACTATCTTGGAGAACAAATGACCCCTATTAAGAAGCTTAGTCTGAAATAAGCAGGAATACACTTCACATATACCTCTGACGATGAGTCTGTATATTCCTCCTCTATTTTGACTCCTCTCGGTATCATAGTAGATCTCATAGATTCCTTGGTCTGATGTCTGGATTGGGTTTTGGAAGCTGATCTCAGTCTGCCCACCAAATGATGTAAGAACCTCACTTCCATCTTTCATCCAAGTAATGACATTGTCACTATCATCAGGATCAACACGACTATCCATGCTGATCATCACTCCGGTCTCATTCACATTGACTGTCTTTGTAAACAATCTATCACTCGATATGAATTTAGCTGTTAAAAGGTATGATAATAAATTAATGAACCAAATAAACAAGGGAAACGCTCTCGGCGGTCTCGCCTGCATAACGCAATTCAATATGATAAACCAGAACGTCAATGACGTAGCGCTCATCCGCATCTCGCAACAACAAATATCGTAAATTTTATGTGGTACACTTTTGAACTGGTCAAAAAATAAAAATTTGATGCCCTGGAAGGGACATAATTTCATTTCATTTGCATAAAGTACCATAAATAATCAATGGAGCAAAATCTCAAAATTCTGTGTAGAAGTTTAGTGTACAGTTCCAAATTTAGCTCTACCAGATAAGGCAAACCAAATCAAAATCGGTCAAGAAATGAGGGAGAAGAAGCAATTTTTGTTATTTTTGGAATAAATTTGCATAAATTACCATAATTAATCAATGGAGCAAAATCTCAAAATTCTGTGTAGAAAGTTAGTGTTCCAAATTTAGCTCTACCAGATAAGGCAAACCAAATCAAAATCGGTCAAGAAATGAGGGAGAAGAAGCAATTTTTGTTATATTTGGAATAAATTTGCATAAATTACCATAATTAATCAATGGAGCAAAATCTCAAAATTCTGTGTAGAATTTAGTGTTCCAAATTTACCTCTACCAGATAAGGCAAACCAAATCAAAATCGGTCAAGAAATGAGGGAGAAGAAGCAATTTTTGTTATTTTTGGAATAAATTTGCATAAATTACCATAAATAATTAATGGAGAACAATTTCAAAAATTTGTGTAGAAGTTTAGTGTACCAAAGTTAGCTCTACCAGATAAAGCAAACCAAATCAAAATCGGTCGAGAAATGAAGGAGACGAAGCATTTTTTGTGATTTCGAATAAATTTGCATAAATTAGCACAGATAATGAATTTCACAATTCTGTGTAGATGTTTTAAATCCCCCTCCCCTTCCTATCATATGAAACAATCAGAATCAAAATCGGTTGAAAAATAACGAAGAAGAAGCATTTTGAAAATCTTGATGTTGATGCCACAACAAAGTCTAAGTTTGTTGACCTTAAATGACCTTTGACCTTAACTTAGTGACCTGAAATTCTACTCAGATGATTGGGGAGACTAGATAACCCTATAGTCAAAGTTTCATTGATTAAGAACTTATACTCTAAAAATTATATCAAAAATTCAAAAACTTAACCTTAGGTTAAGTTTTCGATGATGATGCTACAACATAGTCCAAGTTTGTTGACCTGAGATGACCTTTGACCTTGACTTTGTAATCTGAAATTCTACTCAAATTATTGGGGATACTTGATTACCCTATAGTCAAAGTTTCATTGACTAAGAACTTATACTTTAAAAATTATATCAAAAATTCAAAAACTTAACCTTAGGTTAAGTTTTTGATGTTGACGCCGCCGTCGCCGTCACCGGAAAAGCGGCGCCTATGTCTCGCTTTTTGCTACGCAGGCATGACAAAAATGTTTCAACTTTAATACATTACATGTAGCACCTACAGCCTACAGGCATTTGCACTGTAGCCATTTACTCACTAAAGGAAACCATACATTTATACAGTGCGTCCCAGAAAAAACGGAACCGAGAATTATCGGTGTTTTATCATAACTTAAAGGTAATACAAAGTTTTGGGAAATTTTGAAATTGGGGTAGATAGTGATTCTTTACAAATTTGATATATTTGGATGCCCTGTGGATGTATTATAAGCACTAGAAAATTTAGCCCCTAAAACACTTTTGCTTTCGAGAAAAATTGAATATAAAAATTTACTGGTGCTCCCGGTAAATTTTGAAAAAATTTCAAATAGCGCCTACAGCCGTACAATGGTAGTTGCGACCATGAAAATCTCAGAATATGTAGTTGTGATATATAATTTCCAAACGAGAATAGCTAATTGGTCGACTTTAGTCAAAAAACATTGTTTCATAGCTTAATTAATATCTTGACCTTGAGAGGGAGCTATACAACATAAAGAGTTTATTATTTGCAATTTCATAACTTTAGACTCGGTTTCAACCGTGACAACGATCACTGAATATTGCAGGATCGCATATATGCTTCCAATATGTTCATTTGAACCAAATTCATGACCCCATACCAAAACTTTGTATTACCTTTAATCACAACTATAATTAATAAATGACACATATTTGGAAAGCTTAGATCCTCCTCTTTCATTTGATGTAACTCATATGAAAAATCTGTGGATATCTCTGGGTCATTTGGGACATGTGCTAACCTCAATGTTCATTCTGCTATAATATATCAGTTCAAGGTTAGCACATGTCCCAAATGACCCTGAGATATCCACAGATCTTCAACACATGGAAAGGCCCCACTTTGTACATTTTTAAATAATCACTCGTACAGCGATGTGGTGCTACATAAATAGCCTTTGTTTCCCCTTTTTTACAGAATACTTCCACTTGTGTATCATGGAGTGCACTGCCGCTGTCGCTCATAAAGGTGGAATATTTTAGTTTTACACCAATTCATGGAATTATTTTTAAAATTATTTAAAAATAGTAGATCTAGATAATACTATACATTCTCAGATTGTATTGAATAATACAAAAAAACTGAAAATGCAATAAATTTTCAATAATTTATTACATTTTACCCCGGTCCCCAACATAAACAAATCCTCTGGACGGCCATGCATTATGGCTCAAGGCATGGGCACACAGAAGATTTTTTTCTGTTGGGAACCAGGGTAAAATGCAATAAATTATTGAAAATTTATTGCATTTTCTGTGTTTTTATTTATTTATGGAAACTGCCCCCTACCCTAGCCCCCGCAGCGTACAGTCATGGTTCAGTGACAAAGCAATGACCTCGTAACTGTGAGGCCCCAGGATCAAAACCGTGTCGATGTGCTATATTAGTGCCCTTTTGTGGGGAATTAATCCTCATTACTGTCATTTATGACTTGAGGGCGTAGGGCCCCTAGTTGATAAGCATAGTAGCATACACATGCTTTAGCAGTCATGCAAAACACACATTGGCAAATTATTGTTCAATAAAATCTGAGAATGTATAGTATTATCTAGATCTACTATTTTTAAATAATTTTTAAAATAATTCCATGAATTGGTGTAAAACTAAAATATTCCACCTTTATGAGCGACAGTGTAGTTTGATCGATAAGTATTTTCGCACTGCGAAAATGCATCTTTTTTTTTTTGGGGGGGGGGTTCCAATTTGCATAAGTTCCTACATACAGGAAGATACTTTTAATGGACCAATGGTTGAATATGCATGATTTTGTCATGACTGATGTGTTCAATGAACTACTGAACACCCCCAAATTTCCGATGTGGGATGCTTGTAGGTTACTTTACAGGAGAGAATGGGCTATTTGCCATTGAAAATCGCACACAAACACACACATACACACACACACAAATATTCATTTTTTTTAAATGTTTTTTTTTTTTTTTTTTTTTAATCATATTTTTTGAGGAAAAATCGTACTATCGTATTTACTTCTAAAAATCGTATAAAATACTGGTTGGCAGCTCTGCTTAATGGATGGCAGGGATTCAGATGTACGCATGGGAGCTTGATCAAAGCCATAAGATCAAGAATGCAAGCGTAGGTCTAGTCTTGGATATTATACATTTCTAAAATTGTTATTACCGACCTTTGTGAGGGTTTGATGTGTTTGTAGATCTCGTACTATCACAGATCTATTTCAATCATCGTTGTCAATGTGTTTAATCTTGCAAATATTGGGCATGACGGAGCTAAGTAAGGGGAATTCGAACATTGCAATCGATGTATAGAGGTCAATTTAGTAGTGCCACAACTTGCCCAAGTAATATTGCCATAATAAATATATAAATATATATTAAGTAATGGATGGTCAGAAGCTATGTATTCAAACCGGAGTAAACGGTTCAGGAAATGAGAATAGCTTGAGGCTTGATCCCTGTATGTACATGTAAGCCTTGCGAATCGCATGCATACTGTATGCTCCTCGCGCCACGCCATATTGTGCTGAGCGTGCATTTGCAAATATGTATCTCAATATTTACAAATATGTTATAGAAATTGGAATTGTGATTAATTTTAATTATTCAATCTTCTTGACACGTACAAAGATTTAAGCATGTTAATAATAAGTTACATGATATAATAAACAGGTCAACGCAAAGCGTACATGTAGCATTCCCTTGCAGAATACAAATGGCCTATTTATGTCAGAGCAAGTTACCTCCATTGGGCTTTACTATTATATTACTAGGCAAGGAAGTTAACCACATTTTCACAAATATAATTACATGTAGGTGTTTTTGCATATTTAATGAGCTATGACCTTTCACCTTTGACCTACATACTCAGAAATCAAACTTAGGCTGTACATGTATTTTGATACCATGTACCTTCATATTAAACTTCATTAAAATTTGTCAAACATTACTCAAGTTATTGAATGGAAACCAGATTCGCATATTTAATGAGCTATGTCCTTTGACCTACATACTCCGAAATTGACCTTAGGCTGTGTTTTGATACCATGAACCTTCACATCAAATTTCATTAAAATCCGTCAAACAATACTACAGTTATGGATCAGAAACCAGATTCCCATATTTAATGAGCTATGACCTTTGACCTACATGTACATACTTGGAAATTGAACTTAGGCTGTGTTTTGATAACTTGTACCTTCATGACAAATTTCATTAAAATTTGTCAAACATTATTACTCAAGTTATCGAATGGAAACCAGATTCTCATATTTAATGAACTATGACCTTTCACCTACATACTCCGAAATCGAACTTAGGCTGTGTTTTGATACCATGAACCTTCATATCATATTTCATTAAAATCCGTCAAACAATACTAAAGTTATGGATCGGAAACCAGATTTGCATATTTAATGAGCTATGACCTTTGACCTACATGCTCGGAAATTGAACTTAGACTGTGTATTGATACCATGTACCTTTATATAAAATTTTATTAAAATTCGTCTAACATTACTAAAGTTATTGATCGGAACCAGATGTATATTTTTTCGCACATTTAATGGGCTATGACCTTTGACCTACATACTCCAAAATTGAACTTAGCCTGTATTTTGATATCATGTACCTTCATATCAAATTTCATTAAAATCTGTCAAACATTAATGAAGTTATCGATTGGAAACCAAATTTGTTACGAACGGACGTAAGGAAGGACCGACGGACGGACGGAAGGACGGCAGCATTACTATATCCCCTCTGACTTCGTCGGCAAGGGGATAATAAAGAATAGTGGGTTCTTGTATAGCGCTCAAATCTGTCATACTTGACACTCCTGGCGCTCCCAAATTACTACCCTGGCTTTAGCACGGCTGCCATACAGCGCTCTAGCATTTCAAGTAATTACATGTAGTTCCTGTCAGGTACCCATTTACATCACCTGGATAGAGTGTGGCAAATGTAGATTAATGTCTTACCAAAGGACATTAGCGCCACGGCGGGACTCGAACCACGGACCTTGTGATCGACAGTACGGTGACATATCCATTCGACCACGACACCTCTACATGTAGTTACTGATGTTAATTGATTACATTCATTGGCTATTCAGAATTCGAACTGTGATTAATGTTGATTATTCAGGTATTAATTACATACAAATGTAATGTAAACCTTGTAATCTATTGAAGATAACTACATGTATGTACATTAAATGAAGCAAAGGAAATAGAATTGTCATTAATTAAGAAAATTCAGTTATATAAATTTGTCAGATTTATCTGTCCAGGTTTGAAGTTAACAGGTTATCTGAGAGACAATTCATGAATTTCAAAATTATTGAAAGCAATACTTTGTTTTCCTTAAATTGACATCTTAATGACCTCACACGGATATATGCTCAGAACTTCACTTGGACTACCTCACTTCAGTACAGGAAGCTTCTATAGTATACATTGGGGAATAAATCTTTAAAAATAAGGAAATCTTGTAGTTATTATAATGAATGGAATAATAATCTTACCATCACTTCGTTGGAAAAATGTAGTAACCCTTGTAACATCTCGAGCAGATTTAGAAGCCTCACAGTAGAAAGGACCGAAACCATCACTATCCCATCCTGTAGAGAATTTGACCACTCTGACCAATGGCTTTCCCTGTGAGTGTCGCACATCTCCTGGTGGTGACCTGCCTGTTGTTATGGGTGCTGATCGATCAAATGATAGTGTAGCGTCTGTATCTGGTACACTGCGGTAACATTGATACTGCACATTGTTAGATGTATCTATATTGGTGTATCCCACGGTCAGCACTGTGATATGAACAACCTCACCTGCAACATAAAAAAGTAACAGAAATTGACTGTTGCTGGATACATTAAACTATAGAGTAAATCTCCCCCTGCACGCATTCAAGCACTGCATTTGAATAACTCAGGTATAATTGAAAAAGAAGCGTACTAGCTGCTGTATTAGTATGCATCTAGAGTGCAAATATTATACAAATAGTAAATAGCCATGAGTGCAATGCTACAAGATTTTGCACGAGGTGAAAGATAAGAGACGCTCTATTCAACGAGGCGCAGCCGAGTTGAATAGAGCGTCTCATCTTTCACTGAATGCAAAATCTTGTTCCATTGCACAAATAAAGGCCATTCACTATTTGTTTTATACAACACCTCGGACGTTAATGGGCTTAAAACAGTTTTTTGGGGCCTAAATCGATTTTTTTTTTTTTTTTTTTCAATTTATGAAATTGCTGATAGTGAGCGCGCACTATTAAGCAGGCAACAAACCATCCGCATACCATGCGCCGCGCGTACAAAGATTTATGTTTATTTTGACGCGGAGTGCAATTTCGTTTGATCCTTTCGCACCATTGCACTCTGACGTCACTTAGCTCACAATATACTTTGTACATCGTTAGTGACGTCAGAGTGCAATGGTGCGAAAGGATCAAACGGAATTGCACGGCTGGAGAATGATGCCGTTCAATCACTTCAATGGTACTTTTAGCGCATGTCATGTGATCAAGAATTGACCAATGAGGTTGCAAGAATCTTAGTAGGCGTTGTATAAACATAGTTATTGAAAATCATAATTTTGATGGCAGAGTTGTAGAACCATATCTAGAGAAGATGGAGCTGGAAAATACCTTGACTACGGTACCTTGATTATGCTTGATAATTTAACTGTCATTCAGCTATTACACTTAGACCCCGTTTACAGTGAGAAAGGGCCAGGCCCTGGCCAGGCCCTGCAATTTTGTGCGTTAACAGTGCTAGGCCAGGCCGCGGCCTAAATTGTCACCTTTCAATATTTTGTCAGAGTGGCGCTTTGCATGTAAACAAACAATTATTTGGGGGGCCCGCCGGGGGTCACAGTGCAGATCCGGTCGCGCGCGATTTGCAGTGAATCTTTTCCCCAATTTCCTATACACGGCGAACTTTCACTTCCGGGGTAACAGTTGGGCCGCGGCCTAGCCCTGCGTGCGTTTACAGTGAGAAAAAGCCGGGCCAGGCCACGGCCTGGCCACGGCCGAGACTACCTCCAGAGCAGGGTCAAATGGGCGTCCAATTTGGCCTCGCATTTGGCCTTTTGCGCGTTTACAGTGCTATAGGCCAGGCCTTTTGCTCACTGTAACAGGGGTCTAAGTTTAGTCTTAGAAATGTACCTAGTCTGTTTGCTGGGAAAAACATTATTATTATTATTATTATTTATTCGACCATAAAAACACATTCAGCATGTACAGTGTATATAGGTGTATACAGAGTGAAATAGGAAAAATACAAAGTAAGATAAAGAAGGAATAGCATGTGGGTCAGGGTGCACAAAAGCGAAATTCTTCCCTGTTGCCCGGGGGCATGTGCACCCTCACATGCCATTCCGAGACATAATAGAATATATTGCAAGGTTCACATTATATAAGTATACAAAATAATTACAAACAATCATTCAGAAAATCATGATTAAATTAAATTTCGATAAATGCATTAAGAGGATATGAAGCTGCAATGAATAGAGTGCTTTAAGATTTGTATGCAGAAAAAACTTAAAACTTAAAATAACCAGAACACAATTAACATAAATCGTCATTATTCAATTGATCCAACGGTGTCTCATTCAAAGAAATTCTAATTAAAAAGAAAAAAGAAGAGATGTGTAATTGTTCAAGGTAAATCTGACCAGCAATTTCTTGTATATAACAAAAATATACATATGAATAGAGCGTAAATATTGTTTTGGGCTATACAATCAAGGAAATTATAAAACGTCATGTACCACAATAATGTACAATTTTTGCAGAAATTAAAGGTGCAATAAGCATTAGGATTGATAATCATTCACAAAATATTGAGTAGGGCCTATGGTGTTATCATTTAAGAAGAGTGGCATAATGTGGATATGAAGCTATCAATGTGGACCATTGTTCCAGGTTCAATTAATATAATCATTGTATCATTGAAAGAAAGAAAAAAAAAAAAAAAAAAAAAAAAATTAAACAAGTAACATTCTGAATCCAGTGTTTCAATAAGTTCTTGGATATAGATAAACAATGATTATTAAAGAAAAGGAGGAATCCCTCACTCTCAGTGAGGAAGCCCCTCTCAGTTTGAAAATTAGTTAGAATCGAGAAGGGACCGCTTCATAGAGAGTAGAAAGGATGAAAGTGAGGAGACCACCGATGCATCCCTAACCTCTAACGGTAATTCATCCCATACCCGAGGAAATCTCCGGGAAGCGGACAGGAACAGGGCCTGTGTTCGTGATTGCTGATGAATGAAGGACAGTGTAAAGAGGCGTCTCTTGCTAATGGCTATGTTTTCTATTAGTGTTTCACAGTCACAACAAAAGTACAGACATTTGAAGGTAAATGAACATAAAAGATAATCTCTACGAGCTGACAAGGTAGACCAGTTGAGAACCCTTAACCTTTCTTCATACGGCATTTCTCCTCTTCTCTGTTTAAGAGCAACGCGCGTTGCTATACGTTGGATTCTTTCTAATTGTTGTGTTTGTTTTAGGGTATTGGGATGCCATGCAGGGATGCCATATTCAAGTATTGGCAGTACCAAGGCCTTGTAGAGGGCAAATATAGCAGAGGTGGACGAACCACGGGCTACAACTCTTATAAACCCAAGAAGACGACTCGCGCGTGCAGTAATTGCATCAACCTGAATGTTCCAAGAGAGGTTTGAACCTATTACAATACCAAGATATTTGTAAGAAGTGACAGAAGAAAGCAGTGTGTCACCCAGGGTATAGACGGCATTTTGGATGTTCCGCTTCCTAGTTATATGCATCACTTTCGTTTTGGATGGATTGAATGACATGCCATTTGTAATTGTCCATTGATGGAGTGAGTCTAAGTCATGTTGCAATTGCATTTCATCATCGTGTGAACGAATTGTACGAAACAGTAACATATCGTCAGCAAAAAGAAAAAGATCGGAGGAAACATCAGAGATAACATTGTTGACAAATAGATTAAAAAGTAGCGGTCCAATTACACTACCCTGGGGCACACCAGAAGGGACATTACTCCAAGAAGAGAGAGAACCCAGGAACATTACTCTTTGGAGCCGATTTGATAGAAAGGAACGTACCCACTTCCATATGTTACCACGAATATTGTACTGGGTTGCTAACTTGGATAGGAGGATATTGTGAGGCATTCTATCAAAAGCCTTTGACATGTCAAGAAAAATTGCATCAATGTGTGGAGGGCGTGGTTTGTCTAGTGAGGCTGCCCAATTATGTACCAAGTTTACAAGTTGTGTTACACAATTTTTACCTTTAGTGAATCCATGTTGGTGTTTACTCATCAGACCGTATAACCCTACATGTTCCTGTATGCAGTTGACTACAAGTTTCTCTAGAACTTTACATAACACAGAAGTAAGGGCTACTGGGCGGTAGTTAGAGACCAACGACCTATCACCATTCTTGAATACAGGAGTAATATGGGATTTTCTCCATGAAGAAGGAACTTTACCACAACTCAGAGATGCATTGAACAGAATTGACAAGGGATGTGAAATTTCAGAAGCTACTTTAGAGAGAACATTTGGTGAAATACCGTCTGGCCCAGGAGATTTATTTACAGGTAATCTGGAGAGAGCTGAGCTGACATCTGTATCAGATACTGTTAAACGATTAAGTTCAGTGATAGGCAAGGTGCACTCAGGAGCTTCAGTAGGTAGAGTAGAAGGAGGGGAAAAAACTGAAGAGAAATGAGAATTGAAAGCTGCAGCTATATCATCTGGTTGAGTAAACTGTGCTTCATTATACTTAAATTTAGGAGGAGGTAGTGATTGTTTACATGCTCATTTGATTCCAAAATCTTTGTTGATCAGGAACTTCATGCATTTAAATGTCAGTGTAGCATGTTTTGAGAAGCAAAATATTCATATCAGAACTAATTACCCTTACAGAAACTTAAGCTTGCGGCAAGCTTGTTACAAGCTTGTTAGAAGCTTGCAGCAAGCTTAATAAGATTGCATTACAAATTTAAGCTTGCAAAACTTGCGCGCAATCTTACAGCAATCTTGCTGCAAGCTTGCAGGCAAAGAGAGATATTCATGCAAGCTTGCTGCAAGCTTGCAGGCCAAGAAGATATCCCTGCAAGCTTGCAGGGGTGCAATCTAAAGCCCTTGCAATCTTGCAGGCCGACAGTGTATGCCCTGCAAGCTTGCAGCAAGCTTGCGGACATTGCAGGGGCGCAAACTAAAGCTCTTGCAAGCTTGCAGACAAAGAGGATATCCCTGCAAGCTTGCAGGAGCGCAATATAAAGCCCTGGCAATCTTGCAGGCCGACAGTGTATGCCCTGCAAGCTTGCAGCAAGCTTGCGGACATTGCAGGGGCGCAAACTAAAGCTCTTGCAAGCTTGCAGACAAAGAGGATATCCCTGCAAGCTTGCAGGAGCACAATCTAAAGCCCTTGCAATCTTGCAGGCCGACAGTGTATGCCCTGCAAGCTTGCAAGCCGACAGTGTATGCCCTGCAAGCTTGCAGCAAGCTTGCGGACATTGCAGGGGCGCAAACTAAAGCTCTTGCAAGCTTGCAGACAAAGAGGATATCCCTGCAAGCTTGCAGGAGCGCAATCTAAAGCCCTGGCAATCTTGCAGGCCGACAGTGTATGCCCTGCAAGCTTGCAGCAAGCTTGCGGAGCTTGCTGGGGTGCAATCTAAAGCCCTGCCAAGCTTGCCGCAAACTTATGTCAGACTGCTATGGACAAACCCCATCTATGACCAAATTATTGTCACTGTAAACATACAGCACAAAAGTTTATATGCACAATTAAATTGTTCAATAATTATCTCAAAACCTTTGAT